AAGAGTTTATACAATTTTGAATATGAGAAAAATATGAAGAATCAGTAGAGGAAAGAGGAACAATCAAAAAAAAACATCATCAGCAAAAAGACAGATTTCACAATTAGGTGGGAGCAACAGAGGTAGATCATTCATAAAAATAAGAAATAAAAGTGGACCAAGCACACTGCCTTGAGGAACACCAGATGGAACAGGAGAAGAAGGGAAGACAGAATCATTCACACACACACACTGAGAACGGTTCGAAAGATAAGAAGATAGAAGAGACAACAAAGAATCACGCACATCATAACGAGATAATTTTTCTAATAAGAGAGAATGAGGAACAGAGTCAAATGCTTTAGAAAAATCAAAAGACACACCAACACACTTTGCACCAGCATTCCAAAATTTAAAGACGGTTGAAGATAAAAACAACAAAGCATCCAGAGTAGAATGTTTAGGACGAAAACCGAACTGTTTGTTTACAAAAATAGAGTGTTTCGAAAGATAGAAAAAAATAGAATTATGAGTTAGACATTCAAACACTTTAGAAACAACACAAAGAAGTGAAATAGGGCGGTAGTTAGAAATATCGGCAAGAGCGCCTTTTTTATGAACACGTACAATGAATGTAGTTTTCCATAAAATTGGAAAATTGCAAGTAAAAAGACACCGATGAAAAATGAAGTGACGGTGAGGTGAGAAAATGTCAGCACAAAAGAGAGAAAGGAAGAAGGAATTCCATCAATACCAACAGTAGACTTTTTATCCAATTTCTGAAGTAAACGCTCAACATCCCGTATAGAAAAGTCGAGGTGTTTATCCATCATTGGCAAGTCTGGAGTGGTAGAAAGAGGAATTTGCCTCTGAAGAGAAGAATAACAAGAGGAAAAGTGAGAATCGAAGAGTTCAGCTTTATCCGCATCTGTGGAAACAGAGACTGACGTAAAGTGGAGTGAGAAGAGGATAGTTTCTTGATAGAGCTCCAAAACCAGCGAGGATCAGAAAATAAAGAAGAGAGATCGGAAGTAAGAAGATTTTTCACGGCGATAGAGGGAACAAGATTTCTTGCTGTACGGAACTCAGCAAGGTTAAGAGAAGTATCACGGCGTTTAAGTTTACGAAAACGGTGGTTACGGATAGAGATAAGATGTGCAAGCTTTGGAAAAGCCGAGAGAACAGAAGATAGAGTACGAACTGGTACCAGTGGGATGAATCTATGGATGGCATCGTTTACGTGCTCAGTCCAAATGTGGACGGCCGTATCAGCATCGGTAGCCGTATAAAGGCCATGAGGTATAAGAGAGAGAACACGCCGTAGTTCGGACCAGTTAGAAGAGATAGAGAAATAGTTAGAAACAAAAGTGTGAAGAACATCAAGAAAAAAATCAACAGGAACAGATTGCGAACGGTAACAATTACATAACAGAAAATCAACAGAAGGAGACTGTACAAGTAATATAAAAGCTTCAATAACATCAGAAGAAGCGAGTAAACATAATTGTAAAGTAGAGGAGATATACGTTGCGAGACCTCCTCCGTGTCGATTTCGATCTCGGCGAACGAGAGAATAACCAGAGAGGGTCATCTTTCCATCAGTAATTGTCGCATCGAGATTCGTTTCTTAAAATGAAGGAATGCCAAAATCACTAAAAGAAAAAAACGTTTTGTCTTTAATGAGACCAAAGTTCTTAACAAGACTTTGGATATTGTGAGAATAAATATTGAGTTTATGGGCTAGTGAATTGTCGTTTTGTTTGGCTTGAATCACATTGCATCAAAAACGATTCGACAAGCGATGGTAGCATTTTTGTTGTGTATTACGGATATTTTTACTGGTGTTGGTATCATTGTTGGCATCAGCATTAATATTGGTATTGGTATTATTATTGATATTGGAATTATTATTATTATTATTGTTGTTAATATTGTTAATGATACGGTTGTTATTCTTGATATTACCGGTTTGATTAGGCCGATTACTGTCCTTGTCAACAACAGATGATGAGGTAGTAGATTGCTGTGGTTGTTGCTCTGACTTATTCCGTCGCCGACGAGCTTCAAAGGCTTGCGGAGATTGTTGTTTTGTCAAATTCTTACCGATGTAAACAATTTTGAAAGAAACGTCAGACGAGCTTTTTATCATAGATGCCTTTGCCAAGATCGACGAACGAACAGACAAGTCGTTAAAGGAGATACCGAGAAGTGGCGGACGATCATTATTTGTTGCGGACGAGGTTTTAAATCGCCACACCCAGTCAATGGAAGACGGATCAATGTTGATACCAAGATGATCATGAACAAAACGGAAGAGAACTACCTTATCATTTGTGTCCTCAACAGGAGACAAATTCTTGACGATGATGTTTTTCCGTCGCTTCTCTCGTTCCAAGTTTTCGTTCAACACATCAAGACGTTCAACAAGTTGATCATGTTTGTTGTTAATGATTGTTAGCTGATGTTCGATCTTGTCGATTCCATCAGAAAACGTCTGGAGACAACGAGGCGGAACACGATCAACGGTTCTATCACTCAAGCACTTAGGACAAAACCAGTTAAAAAACTGTTGTTCTTCGGCTAGAGTTTGATACGCCGTATATGCCATTGGTGAAACGTTAACACATGCGATGTGGAACCAAGTGGCGCATGCATCACATTGAAGAGCATTATCGTTAGATAGAGAGCCGGAGGTTGTGCCTCACCCACTTTAGGAGAGTCATGCGTTTTGCGACGTTTATTCATGATGGTAACGAGATGAGAGGAATTGAAGAAGAAAAATAAACGAGGAAAAATAAGTAAAATAAACAAACAAAAATAAACAAATAAACAAATAACTAAACAAAGCCAATACTATCTGAAGATGCAAGAGGTTTCGCAAATGCTCGACCTCTCTCTTTATAATGTGTTTAATATAAGCGTAGGGTACGTTTTGTTTTTATAGTGCAGTTCTAACACACTGTTGTTGTAACAGTCCTCTTAGCTTTCTCGTAACAGTTAATTGACGCAAGATGAAAGCATCGTTCTAAACTGAGCTGTGAACCGTCATTTTTTACTTTGGCAGTTAATGAAATGTAATTTTTCTTGTAAAGAAAACCAGAGGGCTAATAGAAGAAACTCTGTTTTACAGCCCTATCTTATACTCCTTGAAAATGTTTAAGTTCATCCACGGTACATATACCGTATTTTCCCCATTCCAATTGAGTCAGTCGTTTCATCCACATAACTTTTTGCTAACTTAGCAAAACGTTTTGTGGATGAAACGACTCAGTCATTGAATGACTGAACCAGTAGTCATTTGAACCATCTTATTCAGCAATTCAGTCACTTCACTTTTCTGACAGTGTTATAGAAATACTTAGAAACCATCATAAAAAGCCCTCAGCTCTCACATTTTTTCTAATCTTTATTGGTTAAATCTATCACGGTGACGCATTTATCTAGCACTAAGTACACTTAAGTCAATTTTTTAACTTAAGTGCTAGCAGCCTATCGGCCGACCATAAAACAAAATGGAAGATAGGATGAATCGTGGGAAGTTCACGTGCTTGTGACACAAATTGTATTTTATCATAACTAAGTTATGGTAAAAATGCCAGCTCATCGGGGCGACCTGTTTTAGTTCGTACAAATACCCCAAGCGTAAAAACAAAATCTAGTATCGCCCGATTCATTTAGATTATTAGATTTTTACTCAATTGCAACTACTGTGTAACGACAATGGAAATTGAGTAATCGGGCGATTACTCGATTTTTTCTAGTTGCAACTATCGATTTATCACCCGATAATCGATCGATTTAATTATTACTAGATGCACCTGCAGACGCATCTAGTTAAAAGTCTCTTTTCCAACTAGTAATCTAGATGACAGCTAGTCGTGTATCGCCCGATTACAGACGAAATGTATCTAGATTTTTCGCATAGGTGATATCTGCTTGGGCTAAACTACCTATTCACTACGTTACAATTGGTTATTGCATTGTCCATTGTTTTGACATCATTACGACTGTCGTTAGCGATGGTAAACTGTAGCATACGATTATGGATACTACAGTTCACGAGGTCATATTTTGACAGATACGTCATAAAATACGACAAAGTAATCATTACGGAAGAAATACGTCATCATATTGCGAATGGTGGTTTACGTAGACACCAAAGGAAAGAAAAAAGTAAAAAAGCTAAGTGTTGGTACTGAGGATTGAACTCAGATACTTGCTTCAAGTGTGATTACGAGTCTCACGTATTACCAGTAGGTCAGCGCTGTAGTTATAAAGTTAAAAAGACAAAGGACTTGCTGAAAAATGAGATTCTGAAAGTTTTATAACTATTGAATAAAAGCAAATTTGACAATTCTCTTTTCACTTTGTAGAGAGATAAAAAAATGTGCTCTTTCCGAATCTGACGGTTTCCGGTACTGATTCTGGAATTTTAGTGTGCAAATCTCGGCTCTGTTGTATGAATAACAAATAATTGGACTTTTCACAAAAGGAAGCTTTTCAAATAACACGCATAAAATTTTTGATGCATGCCAATCTCCGACAAAAAAGAAGCATATAAAATCGCAGAGGAATTTCCAGACTGAAAATCGCTGAGCATTTTTCATAATTCTAGAAAATCGAACTGGAAATTCGACTTCGAATTTCAAGAATCTTGGGAATTATTTATAAAAATTCGACTTCGAATTTCCTTCGAATTTCCTGAATTCTGGAAAATCGAGATCGAATTTCCAAGTTTCTTGTAAATTCGATTTTCTAGAATCTAGAAAATCCTCAGGGAATTTATATATGGACTTTTTGAAAATCGCCGAGCATTT